GACTCAGTGATCAAGATGAAAATTATAATTTTTTGTATTTTACTGATTAACGCTTCATTAAATCACTGTGAATGTATTATTTTTACGTATAAATAATGATCCAATAATTATTCCTCGCTGACGGACTTTTAATTTAAACTCTCCTCAATTAAAGCACTTGGGATGAGTTTCATTATAAACAGCTGACCTACATTATGAACATGACAAAAAAACATGATTAGTTGTAGAACATCAGAAAGCTGTTATAGAGAACAAAAAGTCTAACTCTAATTTCAGGACTGACAATAATTCCCTTATGATGAAACATTTACCTAAATTCCTTTTAAAGGAGATCTTCTGAATTCCCTCCCAGGACAGAGAGAAATCTTGGTGACAGTCAGAGGTGATCTGGTGTTTCCTGACCTTTTACTTTCCACGCACCTTGCTCCTCTGCTCCTCAACTAAAATGTTGAGCAACGCTTTGAGGAAAATCCTGCATTCAGGTGTTTCTGAAATGTTTAGTCCATAGGCGGTTCTACACAGGGGCCAACGGGGGCCAGTGCCCCTGTAGATGGTGTCCTGGCCCCTGTACTGAAGACATAATACTGAAAGAAGTTCTAATGATGAACAGACATGGTTGCTGATGGTTACTTTCTCTTTTTTTTCTTAACAAATTCTGTTTTACTAATGATTTAAAAACAATAAGCTTCAGTGGGATTGAGATAGGATCCCAGTTTTCTTCTGCTAAATGTTTTTTTCAAAACAAATTTAAAAAAGATACTAGTAATATAATAGTTTGGTTATCTTTAAAACCACAATATCAATATTAACATGTACTGAATCATTAGTAAGTCGTTATTATTTTCTCAGTTTCTAGTTCTTTGAATTTATAATCCATTTTATAATAGCCAGTCTACAGAGTGAGCGGTGTAACGGGGAGCAGAGGAGCCAGGTGTGTGAAAGATGAGGAAAAACCAGGAAAGGAACCAGACAGAATAGCACCAGCTGTTAAACTGGCAAAGAAAAACGTTTCATTCAGGCAATTATTTTACATTTATCATGGAAGTCATTTTGGCACAAAACAGAAAACTCATTTCATGAAAACTGATTGAAAGGTTTCCATGAAATGAGTTGATTTAAAAGCTTTAATTGGTTGGAGTATTCTTCTAAACAAAGGCTGCTTTTTGCTGTTTTACAGTGAAATGAATCTTGTCTGTGCAGACAGCTCTCTGGGTGCTCAGCCCCCCTAAACCTCTCCTCCTAGGACCGCCCCTGCCTCTCCCTCTTTAGACTGCTGTTAGCATAATTAGCATTGATGATGTGTGAGTTTATTACACGTTAATATTAGCGGCCTGTTGCCTGTCACAACTGATGTTTTCCCCAGTAGTTAATCTAATTAGGCCAGTTCCTCTTTCTGGATATAGACTTATAATCTTCATTCTGTACATGGCATAGATGTGGGAATGAGAGCAGCGTCCTTCAGCTAAGAACAGAGTGGAATAATTTGATAAGGCTGGAGCCATGGATGTCTAATCATCTGCTGACGTGTGTTATATGATGAAATAATGAGGTAATGATGTGATGATGTGTTAGACTGGAGATTTATAAAATGCCTTTTTAACTGTTAATCTGGGCCACTTCCTGAGAGGTGAGTCCAGAGGTGAGCAGCTGCCTTCTGCAACTCTAAGCAACTTCTCTGATCTGAGTAAGATTATCATTTCTATCAGAATCTGTTGTCATGCTTCCTGCTTATTTATTACATCTAAGTTACGAAGTGATATTTAAAGAGTGATTTCTGTTCAGCGGAAATAACTGGAGAAGGAAAGCTTCAAGGTGTAGACAGAGAGCCTAACTTTAACACTGGCAATTAAAAAATGGATTTTAAATTCAACTAGAAACTGTAAAAAAGATAAATAATCACTCAGTAAATGTAAATATTGAATTTTTTGTTTTTTACTGTAAAAAGTGCAAAAGTGTGTTTTCAAAACTGGGCAAGAGATTGAAATATATTAAGAGAGCTGCATGAAGGGAAATTTCTATTCAATAGGTTTCATTAAAATTCAGTCTCATTAGGTCAATATACATTCAGAATTTAGGAATTTTACATATTTTTGACTGAATTTAAGTTAAAATTACTATTTTCTATCACATCTAAATTAGAACTCAAGATAAATTCAGCTGTAAAAGTTTTTCTTTTTATTTGTTTTGAAAAAAAAAACATTTAGCAGAAGAAAACTGGGATCCTATCTCAATCCCACTGAAGCTTTCACCTTATCGTTATTAAATCATTAGTAAAACAGAATTTGTGAAGAATAAAAAGAGAAAGTAACCATCAGTAACCATGTCTGTTCTAGCCCAGATCATCATTAGAACTTCTTTCAGTATTATGCCTTCAGTACCGGGGCCATAACAGGAGCCAGGACACCATCTACAGGGGCACTGGCCCCCGTTGGCCCCTGTCTAGCACCTCCTATGGACTAAATATTTCAGAAACACCTGAATGCAGCATTTTCCTCAAAGCGTTGCTCAACATTTTAGATAAGGAGCTCCATCAGGCTGCTTTACTGTTTGTTTATGATCATTTCTGATGAACCAGACAGAATGAGTGTATAGTTTTTACAAAGTCACTTTTTTTAACTGTAAAAAGTTCATAGAGTATTAAAAGTGATATTTTAGGGGTGCTTTGGTTGAAATGAGGGTTGCCCAGCAGCCCCAGAATAGGTCCAACCTTCTGTGACAGTCGTCTCTATTTAGCTCTGCCATTGTTTGCTCTGCGACATGATTTCCCCTCCACCAATCTTAAGTGGCGCTTTTTTCATTTAGCTGAATTGGACCTGTGTTTTTTCCTGTTATTGTTCATTTATAGATCTGTCTCCTGTCTCAACCACGCAGTCTGTTCACTTGGCTGTTTCCTATTTTACATCCTTCAATACATAAATTAGGATATTCTGCTGCTGATAATGAAAGCTTCACACAAAGACTTTTTTTCTCCCATTATAATAAACTTTTATTAACATAATTTTCAAGCTTTTCTCCGAGATAAGTTCTCTATTATTTGATCACAATGAAGCGCTCCGCTGTTTGCTGCAGCCGGTGTTGGCTTTGGGGGTTTCTGAAAAGTGTGGAGCAGTGATGTAATGTGTGTGCTGGTATAAATATAGAGGCATGGCTGCTGCGGATCAATGTCGCCCAGGCGGTGAAGTCAGTGCGCCTGCAGGTCTGGGAATGACTCGCTGTTTTAGCGTCACCTCAGTGGGGGAGCGCGCGCCGGGAGGCGTCAGAGCTGACATGGGGTCCCTGTGCGCCCTGAGGACGCTCATGGTGCTGGGCTTGGTGACGGCCCTCGCGGGATGCGCCCCCGGTCTGAACCGGACGGCGGAGCGCTGGGAGGCCCTCTACTCGCGCTCTCTGGCGCGGATCCCGGGGGAGAAGCGGGAGGAGATGAGCCGGGACGGAGACTACCTGCTCGGCATTAAGCGGCTGCGGCGCCTCTACTGCAACGTCGGGATTGGATTTCATTTACAGGTTTCACCCAATGGCAGAATAACAGGCGTTCACAGCGAGAATCCTTACAGTAAGTGGCTTTTTATTTGAATTATCATCCCCAACCGGAATCTGAAACTTTCCTTTTTCAACCTGTTGCTCAGTAACACAGATTAAAGTATTTCCATCAGGCTGTAAAATCAAAACGTTTTACTGTTACATTTTATTCAGGATTAGTAAATTGTCAACACCACCTCAGCTCCACCTGATCCATTTCCATCCTAAAGAGGAGATGCTGCTCTGCTCATATTGATCCGCGCTGCTGGAAAACATCACCTCAAATAAGCGCAAACCTTTTGCGCCACAAGTGTAACCGGAGCTCGCTGTAATCCGGGCCTGCAGCCAAGCAGAACCCTAAAGTTAGGACACAGGCCGGGCTGGGAGGGCAGGTCACCCCGCGCTCCAGCACTGGCATGCCAGGGACCCCTTTAGATCTGCAGCCTGCAGGACTCTGATTGATGCACGTTTCCATGCGTCCAACGCTGCAGGGACCCATAGCTGGGTTTATTCTTCATTCTCATTTAAAACCAAAAACTCAAAAGTGTAAAAAAAAAAAAAACGGATCTGAAATAGTGATAAACAGAGTCGACATG